CTTTACAGCTTAACCACAAAGGTTTTTAGCCTTTTAATAAATAATGGGAAATAATTTGCTGTGTAAACGAAAATTACATTTGTTTCCATTTCCTGGCTCTTTAGAAGGAGAGGTTAAGGCTGCAAATTACTTCTAGTTTACAAAAATTAATCATTATTAACTCACTAAAACCTAATAAAAATTCCAACAATAGATACCAGCATGCATATACCAAATATTTATTGTTTCTATCACGTATTTAATACTTTCCTAAAACTGTGTATGAAGTTCACAAATTCTCTGGCAGGGGTGGGAAGGCTATAACTCAGTTGGGTCAAAGAAATGCATATGACCTATCTAACAAACAATGCCAGCTAGATTAATACCCTGTCATTACTTCTAATAATGGAATTGATATTTCAGGATCATTGCTATTTTTTCAATCACTGAGATGAAGTATTCTTGAGGCTTCTCTGGGTGAAAAATACTTCTAGAAATATCTATTTCAGATAAATTTAGATCTGATAAATGATATTTTTAGCAATCATAATTTCTACAGATATGGGTTCAGATTAATGATTAATCTGTTTTCCAGTTCAAAGCAGAGGAGTTTAAAGTTGGAATCTTGCAATATATCTTGATCAGCAAAGATGACACAGTCCAAGTATTTTTGATTCATTTTCCCCTGGTATATTCGAATTGGATTTGCTGGTAAGATTTCCTATCACTAGTCTGTTCTTGTATAGCACAGGAATTATGTAGATAATTCAAGCAAATCCCTCCCACTCCTACATCGCTCCAGCAACATTCTGAATTACCAAGATGAATCAGACAAAATCATGGCCTTTTTTTAAAGCATAATTATTCAGATAATTATTTTGATCCTCCATTTCACTTAGGCTCTGAGGATATGGCCTTAAAAGACTTTCAACCCAGGAACAGCACCAAGGAAAAACTTGGACCAAGGAAGCGATGCATATCCTACCAACCTCCCCAGTCATTCTGATTCATCTGAATGCACTTTGTGTCTTCATATGACCAGCTAGAGGAACATTCAAACATGCAAAATTCATATCAGAGGGTTACTCATTTATTTTAACAAAATATTTATATTATAGAAGCATATTTTCCTATTTTAGAAATCTTAGAATTTAGGGCTGGGGTTATGGCTCAGTGGTAGAGCACTTGCCTGGCATGTGTGAGGCACAGAAAATGAGAAATTATACCCCATCTGATTCAAATGTATGATATGTCAAGATCATTGTACTGTCATGTGTAACTAATTAAAACAAATTTAAAAAAACTAAATAAACAAAGTAAAGGTATTGTATCCATCTACAGCTAAAAATATTTTTTTWAAAAAGAAATCTTAGGATTTAAAATATAGTGGATTTGTCAGCATATTTCATATGATTTATACCTAAGGTTTTAGAACAGTATCAGGTTAAAATGGAGTTTGAATAGCTATTTATTCTAAGATTTCTGTTCAAATATCTTCTTCTATCTGAATTATCTACATAGCTCAAGAGGAAGCTGGACTGAAATTAAACCCAGATAGATTTTCTCTACTGTCCTAATTCCCCAAACAATTCCTAATTCTCCCCCACACAGTGCATTGGAAGGTTTGGTGAAACAGAATAAAGTACAATWTAAAATTACCTTCATGAAACTATCTTCAGCATCTCTACCAGAGCAACTTGTCAATTTACATTCCAAACTCAATGGCACAGGCTACAAACAGGACCTCAGCCCTCTCTAATCTTCATGTATATTTTTTAAACAGGGAAACCTTATGTTAATGGAGAGATTATTGCAAAGAGTTTTCTTGTAAGCCCATGAATGCCAAATCACAGACTAAGCAGAAAGCAGAGCTCTATGAATGGTACAATAGAGTCAACTCATCTTTTAAAAAAGCTCAGCATCAGCCATAAAGAGAAGTTAAATTTTTCTAATTCCTAGGTCTCTGTTGAAACATAATGAGCCCTTACTTATTCCATGGTGATTCCACAGTACACACATACTGGGAGGCAAGTTTACTGTAGAGGGTAATCATGTTGAAAATCAAGACTTAACCTTGGATTCAATAATTTAGCTTTTCAAATTACTCAATAGGATCATCAGCTCATTCTGAAGTGTATTCTTCTTATTGACATACCTGTGTCTAGTTCCTTTAATATAAAATACCTAAGTAAAAATATAGTCCTACAAATTAAAATATAGGAAAAAAGTAAAATATAAATGAAAAAAAATGCTGAAGATCTCTGCTGATTCACAATATTTGCAAAACTCTGCAGACTCTACCAGTTGCAGAAATTAAGGGCAGGAGCATGTTCCCTAGAAACTGAAAATGTTGAAGAAGTTACTGAAAAGAATATAAGGATCAACTAAGATACAGTAAACTTTATACTCAAAATTAACACTTTACTCAAGGTTGCCCAACCCCAGGTATCATTACCATACACACTATAATCTATGTGAATGGCGCCCCCTGCAGTTGTACTTAAAGGGGCCCAAACACTAAAGACAATACAAATCGTGCCTCAGAGGTAAACAAAGTGGTGTCTTTTTTTTTTGATAATGCAAAAGGCACTGTAGGATTCCTACATGTTACCAAATTTCTGTTGTGAAACATTACCATTTTAGGGTATGAAAAAATTGGATATTGAATCACTGTTTAGAATTCTGGAGCTTACTGATAAGTCTCTTACACTGGATTGAGTTGATTATTAATTTGTATTTGAAATAAACCCTTTACCAAACAGCCTAAATACACTAAAATTAGGAACTCTTTAGTGTTTTATATTATATTAACGGAAATACAAGTTTAACAAAAAAGCCATGCACATATATATCATACATGCGCGCACACACACACACACACGTGTATATACAGATATATATGTGTGTATATATATTTTAGAGGTGGTCAGGAGCTAAATCAGCTTCCATCACAAAGTTTCTATTGTTTGTGGGCTAAGTCTCTAAGTAAGCCAGATATAGAGATCTGCAAAGTAATTCCAGTTTTAATCAAGGAAAAGAAAATTAACTTCATTTTGCCAAAAAGGAGAAAGTTCTTAAAAATATAAGTTCACTAATATAAATTTTTAAAAAATTGAAACTTTTTTATTACATTAATATGTGCAAAGACTTTTTAAGAGCTCAGACTTTCAGAATAAGAGAATTGCTAGAAAGTTACTTGGAATCACCCACAGACAATAACTGTCACTGGTTTAATTTCAAGCAATGGGCTTGTGCCAAAAGGGACTGACATCTTGATGAAAGGATCACCAAAAAGTTGTAAGAATTTTTTTCATGAGTAAAAATCTTTCCAAGAGCAACAAATTGTGATTTCCCTTTCTACCACCATACATAAATGACAACTGTAAGAAATTAACAAGTAATATTAATTTGCATTTGCTTTTCTGCATTTGAATGGTTCTAACTTTCATTCTTGGCTTTGGCAAGCATACTTGCCTTCTTAAAGCTCATTCCACTCACTACTGAATAAACATGATATTTGCTCTTTGCTCTTGACCTATAGGGGTAGTATGGCAGGGTCAGTGGTCATATTTATGTTTAACCAAAATCATCACCTGACATATTGCAACATAAAAATCTTCGGGGTCTAGCTGCAGTGACACACCATGGTACTGTTCTGGATACAAAACCAGAGGCAAGATGATGTTTCTGTTCAGTGACAGTAGAAGAATTAAGTAAACAAAAACTTCACAGCAGTCTATTTTAATATCATCCTATTACTCTATGCCAATGGCCAGTAAGGAATTTAATATGAAGTKAGAAACCATTTGCAGAAACCCATTGATTACCTTAATTTTATGTTAACTTCTTTTGTCTTCCTACCCCAGGTTTCCTAATTTGGCCATTACCATACTGGCCCAAGTAAGATCTATTTATTTAGTGCTTTAATGCCCACTTGTTGAAATGACAGGTGAGGCAAACAAAAAATTTTAAAAGTTTACTTGTTAATAAAAGTCAATCTGAACTCATTTAATTGCCTCTGATTCATTTTTCTCTTTAGAAGTTTATTCTTGGGTTGTTCTCAAAGATAACATGAAGTATATCAGATTCAATTTTGATTAACTAAATTCCACCCTCTTTTAAAGGAAAAAGCTAAAACTAATTCTGAAGGGTACACATTCTAAGTGGCAGAGGTGTTTTAAAAAGTACAAACGTCTGCAGTAAGACATACTGTAATTACTTGAAAAGTTTTATAACATTTCTATTGTTTTTTTAGTTCAACCTTATTTCCAAAGAGAAAATCTTTCAAAGAAGTTTAATATAGTAATTCAGATGTTTTAAATGTGTATTCCCTCTATTTCTTTATTTGATCAGTTATCAGACATTAAACTGCCTTCTCTATGGATCATAATCCTGTCAGAAATAGTTGCACTTTTATTTAGAGGTAACATGCTTGACTTCTAAAACTGAGTAGATGTCTCTTATAAATACAGTAATAAATCAGTAAAAACAACAACAACAACAACAACAACAACAAAACTCCACAAATATATTTGAATTACAACAGATACAGTATACTAATACAAAATTCATTTTTTTAAATATATTGCTCTTAAAGATAGCATATACTGGAGCTGGACTCAGACCCATAATTTTTGGCTAAGTTCTGGCTATCTGTAATATAAGACCCATTGCTTTGTCTGAATGCTACACAGTGTTACCCCCTTCATGAACATCACAACATGTCATTCTTAAAGAACAGAATACTTTCTGTTGTTCCCCTTGAATAAATCTTCACTCTGAAAGAGGAATTTTCATTTTCTATTTAAAATGATTGCAAGTCAAAAGATCTAATTCACTAGCCAATTCACACAAATTGCTGCACTGCAAAACTCCCACATGCTGGAGATAGAACCTTTTAAAGGTCAGCTGGGGTAGGAACAATGAAGGGTTGTGGCAGATGAAGGTGGGTGGCTGATATTTATATGTAATAAAGACTGATAAGAAGCTACTGAGAATTTCCTCTGATGACCAATTCTTACCATTTCGAGAATCTTAATAGTCTTGGGCTTCTATGCTCCCTCTCTTCAGTCCAGGGAGACCAACCTGCAAAATATGTTTAAACACAGTAGACACATGGCCTCACCACAGGTCAGCAAATGAAAAAAAAAAAAAAAAAGCCTCTTTAGAGGTTACAAACAACCAACCACTTTCTAAGGTTAAGATAAGTTACATGCAAATTACAGTAACTACTGGGGTTTCAGAAAGAGCTTTCCAAGTGGTCTATAGGTTTAAATAAGGGACAAAGGAATCCCTGGTACCTGGCTCTGCAGAGCCTTGGGCTACTCCTAGTGTTTGGTTCATCTCTAAATTAGAGGAGTTCAAAAGGTTTAGCAACTTAAAAGTAGAATCAAGTGATAAAAATAGATTGTTTTCTGGCTGCTCTTTGTTCCCAGACATACTACTGGCAGTATATTTGCAATCAAGACGGCAGAATAGGAATCAGCCTTCCACTGTGTAGTGTAATGCCTCAGAGTGGATATTTTTGGAAATGGCACTGCATTACATAACCTTCCGTGTTAACAAAAAAAAAAAAAAAAAAAAAAAAGCCTACACAGGGGAAAAAAGTCAGGAATATATACCATTATGCCCTTCTCCCCAAACCAAACATTAACGTATATGCTATAGTGATCTTCCCTCAACCTTTATACCTTTATGCTATCAGAGCACAGCTCTTTTGTTAATATAAGTTATGGCAAAAATTAAGATGAATGGAAAAACTTAAAGTTCTCAAAAAGAGTGTCATAAGCTCTTGGAGTTTTCCTATAATGTTATTATAGATAYATATAAATGCAAATCAGGTTATCATCATCACCAAGAGAAAAAAAGTCATGTATTTTTAAGCTCCCCCCACCCCAAGTTCAAATGCTTTATAAGAAAATGCAGAAAAAAAAAAGTGTTGCAAGATTGAAAGCATGAAAAGACCCTCAGCGGCAGGCAGCAGCGTTGAAAGAGGAAAGAGTAATCAAGTGCACAGATGGAAGGACACAAATTCATTTCATTGGGGTTGGGGGGGGGCAGCTTGTATGCAACAAAGTGCATTTAATGCAAAGAAACAAAATAGTTGCTAACAATGCTTTATGAGCAAGAAGAACAAAATTACCCACACAAGCAAGCAAAACCCCACCCCTTCTCAAAAGAATTCATTTCTCCCTCTTAACTTGTGCATAAAAAAGAAAAAARGAAAAAAAAAGCTCAAGTTAAATTCTAGCCTTTAATGCAGCAGGACCAAAATGCTAGATTTTCTCCAAGGTATCTGTTTCAGCTCTTTAAAATTTAGAGGGAAGAAGCATGAACTCTGCAGGGTTGAAGGGTCCAGCTAAGAGCAACGGCAAGGAATCGACACAAAAGAGAAAGCAGCGCTCCCAGCCGGGGATGAGAATGGCATATACTTACAGACAAAAGCCCCGCTCCCTGTTCACTCTCTCCTCTCTACACCTGAAACACAAATGTGGATGAAAAAGGGCATCATGCTAGAAAGACAGCTGGGGGAAGGGGGAGGGGAAAGGGGTGGAGGAAGAGGAGGGAGGAGGGGGAAGGGAAACAACCCAAACCGGCTTCACTTCCAAGAAGTGCAGCCTTGGAAAAGAAGGAGGGGAAGGTTTCCCTGCCTTGCGCGCTCTCTCCAAGAGTGTGCCTTGTGTCCCTTTCTCTAAATCAATCTCTTTCTCCCTCTCTTTCTCTCTCCCTCTCTCTCTCTCTCCTCCCTCCCGCCTTCCCTCCCSCTAGTGTACTAGTGAACAATGAGCTAATTCTGACGGGGTTGGCTCGGCGCCAGCGCCCCAGCATTGCTGCCACTGTGCTGCCGCCGAGGAGCCAGACTGCTTACTCGGCAGGAATCGGCGGCTCAGGGCCCGGTCGGCTAGCGGCCAGCACGCGCGTGCGCGCGCGCGCGCGCGCCCTGCCAGCACCCCACGCCCGTGCCCCGGGCGACCGGCTCGCCGCGCAGCCCCCACTGTGCCGCGCCGGGCCCCTGGGGGACAAAGCGGACCCGCAGATCTACGCGCCGCCCCGGCCCCGCCCCGGGAGCACGGCGCGCACACACCCCGGCCCTGCCTCCCACGCCCTGGCGGGCTTCTCCGCCTGGACGTGCGGTTGCTTTTCAGACAAATAAGGAGGCGGAGGAGGTGGTTTGGGGGCGCGCCAGGCGTGAAGGCGGCCAGGGCGCTGCACAGCCCGGCGGCCCGCCAGCGCCGTGGGGAGAGGCGGCGCGGCCCGTACTGTAATAATAAACCTGCAGCAGAGGGCATCTGAGGGAAAGAGGACAGCGACGGGCGGCAGCCGCCTTCCCTTTTATGTGCCTGTCCTGAGCGAAGAAGAAAATGGTGCCCACGGCGGCGTAGAACCATACACAAAGAGCCCGGGCTGCACGCGTTTGTTCACGGCCGGGAACGGGCTCTGCCGCCTGGGCTGAGTGCGCGCGCCCACTCCCGCCCATGGGGAAGCCCAAGGCTGGGAGCACCCCTAAAAACCAAGCTCAGGTTCTGTAGCTGCGCGCGCAGTGTGCGCGTGCACATACGTGCACACAATCACAAGAGAGCACTGGGGCACACTCATGCACACAAGCACAAGCACATAGAGCTAGAGCCATGGCCTGGCGTGATCAGCCCAAGACCTACTGCCCTGGTGCTACTTCTCCTTCCAGGAAGGATTTAACACGTTCCCCACTGCCCCTCTGAAATTGTACTTTTTAAAATTGAGGGTTGGTTTAAAAAAAAAAAATAGCGAGCTTTGCTATTTCTGATTAAAAAAAAAAAAAAACTCGTCTTCTTTAAAATCTATCTTTTCATAGTACAATAATAGCTCAAATTTTTGCAAAGAACCTGAACTGGCTTTTTTTTTTTTGCCACAGGGCAGGATATCATTTTATGGTAACTGTCAGATGTTAGAGGGAAAGATTATTTCCTAATTAAATTACTTTGCCAAGAAAAAATATATAAAGGATCCTAATATCTTCTAAATTTGCTACCCACATTTTATCCCTAGTCACTGAAAGCAGTGTTTTCCATTTTAACAGTCAAGGAAAATAAGACAAATTTACAAAACTCAATTTTTAGACATATGTTTACAGAATGTCTTATTTTTTAGATTCAAGCATATTGAGTACAGAAATAGCAAACCTTAAAAAGCAATAGTTTACACTCATAATTCAAAAGGAATAAATTAACTTCTCTATAAGCCCATTACAGGACAATGGATTGCCTAGCAAATTACAAAAGTCACTGTAGCCACAGGTACTTGTTTAGACTACACCAGGTGTGATGTTTGAGGAGCCCAGTAGGAGTTTCTCTGAATTCATCTAAAACATCTCTATCATTTTCCTGCAAAACATTTTACCTGGGGATCATGAATTTAAAAAAAGGAAAAAACAAATTTCAACAAACTTCCCTGATGCCTTCAGGGCCATTGTTCACCTGGCAGGGAAGTGCTAGAAGGAAAATGTGAAGAGCAGGCCCCCTGTGGAAGAAGGTGAAGTCCAGGGCAGCTTCTCCTATCTAAATCCTAACAAATTGGTCAAAGGCACTTCCACTTCTTCCACCTGGAGAACTTTGTCACCTCAGCATAAGTTTGGAAAAGACCACCAAAATSTATCCCAGGAATATTTGTTCAAAAGTTATTTATACAAGGAAACATACACAGACACGTGGACTTTAGGGTTTATGCAAAGCTTACCCAAGATGTTTTTCAAAACAGGAAAATTGGGAATTTTTTAAACGTTAGTTTTACTTCATTGGAACTATATATATTCAGGTGACAGGTTTTTAATAATCAACACTGACTTAGAATCAGAGCCTATTCATCTGCTATATTCCAGATAACAGCTATATTCCAACTACCCAAGAAATATTCCTGAGTCCCTTCTAGGTATAGGGGCCTGTTCCAACACCTGCAGGATAATAAGGAACTCACACCATATCATTTCACTCAGGAACTCTAGCAATAGCTGTTTCACAGTCCTCCTTAACTACTATGATCTATTCTTTCCCCATCTAGTCTGAGAATTGTACAGTAGACTTACTCTCCTAAAAGTGCTTTTTAATCAGGGTATCCCCAGCTCCATTACAGGATAAAGGTCACACTTAGCCTCAATTATGACAGAGACCTAACTTTCCAGGCTTTTCATCCATCTCTCTCTCAATCATGAAATATCAGTCCTTCACTTTAGTCTGGTTGCACTGAAGGCATATATTCATCCCTAGACCATCACCAGTCAGGAAGCAAAGTCACTCAAAGATTGACTTTGAGTCAAACCAGCATATCTTAACCCTTCAGTCATATTGACATTTGGGGCCCAATAAATATTTGATAGGACACGGATTGAGGTGGGGAGGAGGCTGTCCTATGCAATGTAGCATGGTTAGCAGTATCTTTGGCCTCTGCCCACTGGTAGCAATCCCTACTTGTGACAACCAGATATGTGTCCAGACATTGCCAGTGTTCCTTGGAGAAGAAAACTCATCCCAGCTGAGAAACACTGACTTAATCAAGTCTATTCCTTTGAATCTATGGAATACATGGAGGGACAAACACCTGAATGAAATCAGGATTTTCTTAGGAAAGAGGAAAAGCTGGTAATCAATGTCCTTATCTTCATGGTGTTTGTAGTCTAGGGTGAAGGGATGGAAAGAGAGCCAAAGCCAAAGTCATGGTGAAGTGTAATAAGGACAGTTGTGGAAGGTACACGGTGAATACAAAGGCTCCTTTCTAAATCAAACCAGGGATTCGAGAAGTTTCCTAAGGCAGCTAATGCCTAAGCTGAATTTGTGAAGAATAAGCAAGAGTCACCAAATTGAAGAAGGGGGAAGGGGGCATTTCAAGCAGAAGCTGGGACAGAGCTAAGAGATTTGACTGAGGATGGTAATATCCAGGTGGTATGAAAAAATTAAAATCCTGGATCAGAATCTGACCCTTTTATTCTATCCTTGGCAATTATACAAAAGAATATTTCATTATTTGGGCAAAAGGAAAGGATGTACTTTAAATATAGGATTTTACTTCTCCTTTAGATAATATATTCTCAAAAGTATCCTGATATAGCCCAAACTCTCATAAATATATATTCCTGCAACTTTGTTAATTTTCAGTCAATGTCATTGCTTGGGGTAACAAGTTCCATGAGTTTGAGTTCCAGGCAAAAGGCTAATGTAGAAAAGTAGTTACATCTGGTTCTATATGCTCTTGGATAAGTTATTTAACAGAAACCTGTCAGTTTCCTCATCTTTCAATTGGGGTTCATAACACAGTACCAAAGTATTGTATTAGGTGAAATTGTGGACAGTGCTTGGCACATAGCATTATATTCATGGTAATAATAGGTGTTACAGGTAGGTTTCTAGAATAAAACTTACAAGATATTTCATGGTCTGTCTGGGCCTCTCCCTCTGCTCAGCTCCTGCCTCTCTGGTGAGCTGGATGATGTGTAACTCCCCAGTGACTCACACTGTTGCACAACTCCTGGGCCTTTTCACTAGCTGATCCCTCGGCTGGAATGTTCTTTTTTCCTTCTTCAATTTGCTGGTTCTTGCTCCTTCAAAAATTTAGCTTAAGTGTTGAGAGTATAGCTGAGTGGTAGACTCAGCACACACAAGTCCTTGGGTTCAATCCCCAGCACTGGAAAAAAAAAAAATAGGCATTCCTCTTTTAGAAAACTGTCTTTGAGCCCCTAATCTCACTTAGGAAGGAATCTTCGTGTTCACAGTACACCCTGTGCAGAACTCTCCACTTGCATTCATCACACTGGACTCTAACATTGACTCTATTTTTCTATCTTCACCATTAGACCATAAATGTCATGAAGAAATAGACTAGACATTACTGGTTGCCTACCTAACATCCTCTGGCACTTTCCTCCTCTTTAATGAAAACTTGATTTTGTCCTGGTCTCCATCCTTCACCATATAGCCCATGAGGCCCAGAAAGGTGATTCTTAGAAAAAGATCTTAACTATTTTAGCTAATAARTGTATTGAATTACCTGGATCTGATAACTGACTGAGCTTGTGACCTAAGTTCAACCAATCAGACTAAAGGGAAAGAATCACATTATATATTTGAATTAAGAAATTCGAATGCAAGCCTTTAAGTAATATAAACTATTTTAAAAGTTAAACTGAAAGTAACATGAACAGATTTTCTTCCAAAAAAATATTATTCTCAGAGCAATTTATGTATGTGTGTGTATGTGTATGTGTTTATTTATGACTATTTGAGTAATCCAGGTGAGTAATTATGAATAGCCCAAATTAAGGTAGAAGCCATGGAAAAGAAGAGGGGAGTAGTTAATTTTGGAGGTAGAATTGCAGAACACCTTGTGGCCTTCATAGAACATGGAAAATTAACTGGAGAAAAAAATCTAAGATGATTCCGGGTTTCTGTTTTTCTGCCTTCTTGGATGATTGTGGCCTTTCATAAAACAGAAAATACAGGAATAACTTTAGATTTGGGCAGAGAAGTGGGTAATAGTGAGCTTGGTTTTGTATCTTGAATGTAAATCCCACCTATTTAATGTTCTAAGAGCTGGACTAATTTTCTTATCACTGTCTCCATTTTCCATATGATTCCTTCCTTTTACGGGTTGAACAGTGTCACCCCCCAACTTTATATGCTGAAGCCCTAACCCTCAGTGCCTCAGATTATAACTGYGTTTGAAGGGTAGGTCTTTAAAGAGAAAGTTAAGATAAAATGAGGTCATACAATTGGTTGCCAATTTGAAATCATGTCCTTCTAATAGGAGGCAATGAGGACACAGAGAGAGGACCATGCGATGACACAGGGCAAAGACAGTTATCAACAAGCCAAGCTCCATAGAAACCTATATAGATGATATCTTGATCTCAGATTTCCAACCTACAGATTATAAGGAAATAAATGTCTGTTGTCCAGGCCACATAGTCTGTGGTACTTTGTTATGGCAGCCCTAATAAAT